TTTTTTTCTATGATTTAACCCTAGTTTTTGGCCAAATTCTGCTATCCAAACCTACTTCTGCCCTTGTAGAGTTCATTCAAACCCCAGAACTTACTTCACAGTATATTCCCAGTACTTTAGTAACCTGATTCTCTTTACCCAGACTTCCAATCCAGATAGCCCAGTATGTGTCACTTATTTTTCTCTGAGTTTGATGGTGGTCTAGTTGGTATAGGCATTTTCTTTTTCATCCAGCAATCTAGATTGCCCGGTAACTGTGCACTTTTTCTCTGTTCTAACCGCTAAGCCACATGTGTCACAACTCCTTTACCTTGGTTCTTAGATTCTCTTTTTTATTGCAGTAGTCTGATTGGTATAGGCGCATCCCTAACACCCTATATTCTGTCTAGTTCAGTTTACTGAGTTCGGTTTCCTGGGTCTAACCTTTACAGTAGCTCCGTTGATGATCTGTACTACCTTTCTACTCGGGACTTGCCAAGCAGGCTTCCATATTTGCAGTTCTCTGGATTTACATAGCCCAGAGACTTATCTTGTGTTTGCACCGCCCTAATATTGGTTTGCATTTTTTCGTATAACAGTATGTTACATGAATGCTTTAGACCTCCCAGTCTTGCTGGTGTGACCGTAGTTACAGGTATCCTATCCCAACTGATCGAACAAATATAGTTAGCTATAACACAAGCAGAATTTTCAAATTTTCATCACCGGTAAGATTCAAACTCTTGACCTGCTGCTTGGAGAGTGACAACTTGACCACTTCGCTATGCCACCACACCTCTATATAATTTTTTGTATTATTATTAATTATTATTAATTGTTTTTTAAATTTATTTTTTAAAATAGACTATACATAATTTATAAATTCTTTTCAAATATTCAGTTATATAAAATATTAGAAATTTTGTTGCTAAATACTGGTATTATAGAGCAGTTTATTATTTTATTATTTTGATATTGTATAATTATTAGTTATTATTTATTACTTTATTATTTTATTATTATTATTTAGTTATTATTATTAAAGTAGAATTAGAGTTTAGAACCGGTTTTAATAATTCGAGTTTATCACGTGAATTTTGTAATATTTTGAAATTTATTCAAATTTAATTAGATTATATTTCAAAATATTACAAAATTCACGTGATAAACTTAAATTATTAAAACTGGTTCCAACCTCTAAGTAGAATTTAACAGATATGTAATATGCTTAATGCTTAATAATTAACGATTAGCGATTAGTGATTATACTTAGTGATTAGCAATTAGTAATTATGTTTAGCAATTAACGATTAGCGATTATGCTTAGTGATTAATGATTAGCAATTACGCTTAGCAATTACAATTAGTGCTTAATGCTTAATGATTAGCAATTACACTTTATGCTTAGCATTAAGTAAACTATGCTTAGCTGCAACAATTAGCAATTAGCTCTAAAGATATAAAAGGATGTAAATTTCTCCAGTTAACATTAGACCTACATTATCCATCTCTTAGACTCAGACTTCCCTCTTCTCCAAATTCTCTTGTAATATTATAGGATTCTTTAGATATAGGAATCTAAAGATAGCCTATCTTATTCTCTCTAATAAAACATATATTTTATCTATAAACTATTGTTTGCTCAAACTGCTACAGACAGAAGGGTATAGTTTCTAGTTGTAGTAAAAATTATACTTACCTGTTGGATACTGCTATAAACTTGCAAAGGATCCTTGTAGCCATGTTATTGTTATAGTACTGCTATTAAGAAGGCTATAGTAATATAATATTTGGTGCCTTCTGGCAGAAAATATTTTAAAACCATTATTGGATGATATTATCCTGGACTCCTCTTAATTATTAGCTATTTATCAAAAGATAGTTATTCTGAATTGTATTGAATTGAGTATTACTAATTTATTTAACTAGTGTCTAGATGTATTCTTAGAATCTTGATGGATTCCCTATAAGCCAAAGTGTAGGCATAAGGATCCAACCTCAAGGATAATTGAAAGATTCTCATGAGCTAAAGTATAGATATAAGGATCCAACCCCAAGAATATTATTTTTTTTTTTCTTTTCTTGCTAGCCAAAGCATTTGAACTTTGCTCTATAACTAATAGAGTTACTGAATTACACAATGAATATATTATAAACCACAAACATGAATAGCAACAAAACTCTGCTCTTCTTTTTACTACTTTACAAACCTTAAACTCAGACCTTTCTTGTCAACTTTGTTATTCCTCATCTAGAACTAGTCCTCGCACTTATTTTGTAATTGGTACCGGTATTTCAATACTATTTTTAGTTGTTGATACAATAGGAATATAGAAGATCCTGCATTACTCAAAAAATATATTACTCTCACTGCCCTACCTACTATTGATTTTAAATACCAAACCATCTTCAACCACTATATTGATCTAGCCTATAGTTTTAGATACAAAGAACCAAAACAATATGATAAATATTTTGGAAACTTAGATAACAACAACTACAAGATAATACTTATAGCTTTAGCTATCGAGACCAATATATTATTTACCAAGTTCTATCTCCTTCTAGTTTACCCTCTTATTAGAATAAAACCAACAATCCTAATTATCAACCTTCTCCACAATCACCTTGAGATATATTTAAAATACCTTCTGCACCAATTAACGTACCTCAAGACCAATTTGTTGAAATAAACCTTGCTGCTATCCAGGAGTATATATCGAAGAACAACATCTACAATAAGAAACAACTATACATCAAAAAGAACCTATCGAAAAGAAAACTCAAATAGTACAGTCCAAAATATTTTTACTTCAACTGAAACTTTTGAACTAGAAAATAACTTATCTCCTCTCGAATAACAAGAAGTTAATTTATCATCACCTGAGCAACCAGAGCAACTTAATAATAACTTAACACTACCAAAACAACCAGAGCAACCTGAGAACAACCAACAACCTCCACAACAACCACTTGTAGTATCCTTACAGTAACTATCTGTCGTACTTTCTGCAAACATGACCAAAGCTGCTATTTTGAATGCTGCTACAAATACAATAATCTAACTAGCGAATATACTAGTGCTAGGTAGAGAAAAGTCCTTTATGAAAATTAATTTCTTTAATGGTGATGAAAGCCAAGACTAGGGTTCTGAACTATAAACCGGATAACCGTGTAACTGATTATCTGACCCGAAAATATTACCAACCGGATTATATTTTTAGAAAACCGGTTTAATTTTGATAACGGGTCATCCGTCTATGAACGGGTAACCCGCCTGTCAACGGGTAACCCGTTTGTTAACGGGTGACCCGCCTGTCAATGGGTGACCCGATAATAAGTGTGTAACCCAACAACAGGCGGGTAATCCGGTTTTCATCTAGATAATAAATCAACCGATTAATATTACAAACCGGATATTGCAGAATCAAGAATAAAGTTTAAAGTTAAGGTTTAAATATAACCAAAAATGTAAATTGGTTGAAAAAAATTTTTTTTATGCCGCTATTTTTTTTAAGCGGTGGGTTTATAGTTGTAAAAAGGTATAACTTCTTAGACAACCCTATTATTATGATCTTTTAAAATGTTAATATTCGCTATAAAAACATTAGAATGTCTTCGCTTGCCACCATTAATCGGATATATTATTATAAAAAAAAGTTTTAGTGATTTTCAAAAAAGAAAAAAAAACCTTAAGCAGCGGCCGTCGAACCAAAAAATTTCTCCACCAAGTGTGAAATACATATTGCAGGCAGGTGAACCTTTTAAAATCAATATGTTACGTGAGAAAAAATTATCGTAAATAACAGTAAAAAAAAAAAAAAAGAACTGTAGGTGTATTTACCCGAATGAGTTCTTCAGTGTCTAATCACATGTTAGAGGATAATATACCCTCTGCGAATGATGATGAATTTTCGGGATATGAGGAGCCACTTGAATCTGAAAGATCGCCTGCGTGTAAATCAAAAAAGCAAAAAAAACACGATAATCCTAGTATTGTATGGGATCATTTCGAGGTTGAGACAACAGAAAATAGCAATTTTACTGTTTGCAAAATCTGTAAAAATAATAACATTACCGTCAAGTATGCACATGATTCTTCAACATGAAATATGCTTGGCCATCTTTTGTCTAAGCATCGAATTGATAAAGACCATTCTGAGGGAACCAACACTAATGACTCAATCATCAAGGCTATACATATCATTACAAAGCGGAGACAGGAAAAGATAGCGCAATTATTGGTCGAATTTATAATCGAAGATTGTCAACCTTTTCATATTTTACAAAGTAAAGCTTTTTGTCGACTCTTAAACTATATGGAAGCTGGATTTCAAATTCCTTGTGAAAAAACTGTGAAAAAAATGATTAATAAGGCTTATGATTGAAGTTGCGATCAATTATTTGGTATGATAAATACGGATAGCGGATATGTTAATCTGACGACAGATTTATGGAGCTCAAGAACCAATCAAGCATATATTGGGGTCACAGTGACATGGATCAATTCAAATTTTGAATTAAAGGAAGCTT